TACCCGGGTGGAGTTAAATTACCGTTGGTGGTGATGTTGGGAAGATCTGTGAAGAAGACAGAACTTGAGCGAAAGACCTTGGGGAGTGAAAACTAAACTAAACATCGAGAATCGTTAAGCCGTAGATGAAAGAAATTACCTTACCAGGTGGAGGTGGAGGTCGGGTGGGGAAAGCCGTCGCTTGGAAGAGCATCAGACCGTGGAAGGAACTGGAAGGTAGAAGTCCATTTATGGAGGCGGTGGATTTGCAGAGGAGTGAAAGAAAGGAACGGCGAAAACCTGTGGACAAAACGGTGGTTTCAAGCAGAAGGTTTGGATAAGGACGGTGGAAAGAACCGATCTTTGGAAGGATGAGGGACCGGAAATGTAATTTAAGGGACCAAAATTAGACAAAATGTCGTATGTTTACTGTTAAAAATTTTCACAACTTTAATATATATATAATAATTGGATTATTTTTTTTTTCCGATTCCAATTTCAATACTTCTACCGACCAAAGCACATAAATATTTACTCAAAAGTACAAATAAAAGCAAATTGAAAACTCCCATCAAGGAGTCCCACGAATTCCCCCTACGTTCGGTAGGGATCCTCTAAAAGCACCGATGCTTCCCACTCGTCTGCTTCTTCCTCTCGCTTACGTATGTAATTTCTTCTCTTTCTCTTTCTTTCTGTGGATATTTGCTCTTAATTCTTCCTTTTGATTTCCTTCAGGTTCCATTGAAGTCATCACATTTAAGCTGTCTTCGACCTTATGGACGGTATTTTTCTTTACCACTCCCTCCCCCTTTTCATTTTCATAGCAATTGTTTGCTTTTCGATTTTAGGGATCGACAAATCTAAGCAATAATCGCTTCTATTTGCTATCCGGTAGCCGCGCAGCTTGTCGCCCGTTTGCCTTCAATCGATATGTATTGAACTACACAAGTTGTGAGTTTGAATCAAATTATGACTAACAGAAATATATGATATAGTTCTAAAATTTATCAACAATGTGTGCAATTCGAATTTGCTTGACATTATGAGTATACTGTGAAAGATGTATAGACTGTCTCTTTTCGTTTGCTTTTTATGTGTAAAGTTAATAATTCCACTCTGGAAGAAGGTAGACAGGTAGTGTTTTGTATGATGGAACTGGGGAAGGAATGGAACGTGTCATTCTATTGGAATTAAAAAAGACTCTTTGCTCAATGGAATTGGAATAGATTGGCTGAAGGAATGTGATTCTTTCAAATGTTGCTAACATTCATTCTTTAGCCACAGTTATGAGGCCGTTGTTTTCTTGATTTCTTGTTTTCGCTGTGAATTGATTTTTTATGAATAAACATATCTTTTTGTGGAGTTTCATAATTCTATGAAGAACTTTTTGTGCATACAGCTCAAGTGCTCATGTAGCTGAATTACTACCAGATTTAGTGGAAATTTCATTAAGTAGAGCTATTCTTAATGGATTTAGGACATTCTGTAGTAGTAGCCAAGGTATGTTTCTTTTTTCCCCTAATAAATGATGTTTAAAAAAGATTCGAGAAAATGACAGAAAACTTTTGAAAATGGAAGTAAAAATTAGAGAAAGAAGGTTTTCCATTTTTCCCCATTAATTGTAGAAAAAACAATGTCTTGTGATATTCATTTTTCCCTTTCTGCTTGGTGCTATATATATACAAGAGAGGTTTCCCTTTTTAATATTATTTTATATACTTATTTTGTTGTTCTCTAAATTTAATATATGTGCACCATTCTCTTTCTTCCAAAAAGTTGACTTGTATGAAGTTTTATTAACTATTTAGTGTTTGTTATTAATTATTAATTATCAATTACAGATTTGTCACTTAAAAAATGTGTCCCATGCAAGAAGAAGGATTTGAGTCCTATGACAGAGGGGAATGCCAGTGAGTTGAAACCTAAGGTTTGCTGATTTATCTGTTTTATTTTTTTTTAATTTTTTTAATTTTTTATTGTTTTCTGGAATTTGTGAAAATAATATTATGTTGCTATTCATTTAGGTGCCGGAATGGGAATTGGTAAATGATGGTGGCATAATGAAGCTCAGAAGGAATTGGAAAGTTAAGAATTTTCTTCAAGGATTGGAGTTTTTTAAGGTTGTTGGTGAGTTGGCTGAAGCCGAAGGTCTCTCTCTCTCTCTCTCTCTCTATATATATATATATAT